AGTCATTTGGGTTAAGTTAAAATAAAGGTAATTTAAGTTAAAGCTTCAAAACTTAAGATAATTGCTAAATAAAGCAAGAAGGTATCGCATATCCTTACCCCCACATATATACCACTACACTGCATATTACTATAGAAAGAAATCATCAAAATACTATTCTATCTTCTTAGACTTCTTACTCTTAAGTCCATCACTGCATTGTTAAACACTCTAAAGTAAATATTCTCTAGGATTAAGCAGACTTGTCCTTTATCAAAATTACTGCAAGAGCTTTAGGGTAAAAATAAAGACACGTTTCACAGCAGAGTTATGGAATGAGATGCTTATAGTAAAAAAAAAAAAGAAAAAGAAAAAGAAGTTCCGTTTCTAAACAACAATGGGGTTGGAAAAGTATTCTAAACTTCAAGAAATGAGAGAAATACAGTAGGATATGATTTTCTGGCCAGCATAACCAAAGAATAGATTCATATCTGATTACACTGGCACATTAAATATTATAGAAAATATAAAGATGAACATATGTCAAAAAGAAAACCACCATTGTTGTACCCTCTGATGTAATCTGCCTAACCCAAAAAACAAGACAAAACAAAACAAAAGCCCCTTTATCAGAGTTGTGGTTAATGGAGGAGCTATGCTAAACCTTAGCTTTTAATTGCATCCCTGGAAGATTCCTGAATATGATCAGTAGAGCCTATAAATAATAAGAAGATTGCCCCAGCACTTTAGGATCACCCCAGACTTAAGAGGGAGAATCTCCAGAAACCACAACATATACATTCTAGAAGATTGGGCAGACAGTGGATATGAGTTTTCTATTGCCATGTAACAAATTACCACAAACTTACTGGCTTAAAATATCACCCATTTGTCATGTCATAGTTCCATGGGTCAGAAGTCTGAGCATGACATAATGGAGTTCTCTGGTCAGGGTCTCATAAGTCTGAAATCATGGCATTAGCCATCTGAATCTAGGAAGCTTCTCCAAAACTCACTGTTGTTTGGTCACAATTCAATTCCTTGCAGTTGTAGGACTGAGGTCCCTGTTTTCCTGCAGCTGCCTGGGGACTGCTCTCAGCTCCCAGAGGCTGCTCTCAGGTTCTTGCCACATGACCTTGTCCATTGGTAGCTCACAGCATGGCTGTTTGTTTTTTCAGGACAATCTATCTCACTTCAAATCTCCCTCTTGGACAGTCCAGTCCCACTTTTAACAGCTTTCCCTGATTAAGTCAGGTCCATCCATATAATCCCCTTTTTGATTACCTCAGAATCAACTAATTTGGGACCTTAATTGGTGGTGTTAAGTGTTGGTATGCCATCCAGTCGATTCCAACTCAAAGTGATCCCATGTGACAGAGCAGAATTGCCCCCATAGGGTTTCCTAGACTGTAATCTTTAAAGGAGCAGATCACCAGGTCTTTTCTCCTACAGAGCTGCTGGTAGGTCTGAACTGCCGACCTTTCAGTTAGCAGTTGAGCATTTAACCATTGCACCCCAGGGTTCCTTGGGACCGTAATTATGACTGCAAAATCCCTTCTGCCACATAACATAACATAATCACTGGACTGAGAGATCATTATCATTCCAAATCCTAATTGACTCAAAAGAAGGGGATTATACAGGATGTGTACACAAGGGGGCAGGAATCTTGGTGGCTATCTTAGAATTCTGCCTACCTCTTTAGGGTATATAAAAAGCCCTGGAGGCACAGTGGTTAAGCACTCAGCTGCCAACTGAAAAGTCAGCAGTTTGAACCCACCAACTGCTCCCTGGGAGAAAGATGTGGCAATCTGCTTCTGTAAAGATTTACAGCCTTGGAAACCCATGGGGGCAGTTCTGCTCTGTCCTATAGGGTTGCCAGGAGTTGGAATCTACTCAATGGCAATAGGTTTTTGGTTTTTCACTAGCTCTTTCATGAACAAATTATTTTTTGTTGGTAAGTTTTTGATGATATAATGTTTTTTCAGTAATGGAATGCATGTTAAATCATTGAGTGTTTTTAAATTTTTGTTAGGGAAGATGGATTTTGAGAAATATTATGTGGGACATATAAGTCCCACTGGACTCTGGTGGTAGGATAGGTTGGATGAGGCATGAAAAAAACTGTGTTATCTTAGGAATTTTATTTTATTGTGTGAAACTTTCAAAAACATGGCGTAACACATAAAGGTACCCGGCAATGGCTGCACATAATTGTGGTTTGAGTCTCCTTCTTAGTGCTGAATTGTTTGCATCACCTTCTTGATCACTTGACAGGTAAATGCTTTCCAACCTATTGGAGCCATATGTCATGTGGCACCTTGCAACTCCTGCCTTGTTCTTCACAAGAAAGGAGGGTCTTCCTCTTCTTTTGAGTTCCAGGCCCACAGTAATCTGCCTAATGAGAGTAAATCTGAAGGAAAGTTGGTCACATCTGCCCCCATTGTTATAGTTCCACATTGTGAAACTATTTATAATGCCAAGGTCAATAAAGAAATACAGCAATCGATGCCACCATCTGAGAGAGCACCTTCCGACTGCATACCTTTAGTGCCTCTGGTCAAAGCGGTCTACTCCGCCCATAAATGCAGTCTATTCTTCAACTGCTCTTGGGCACAAGGTTACTGAGGAGGAACCGTCTTTGTTCTTTCTGTTGACACTAATGATGTCCTTTGGATTGTGGAACGTGGACAAAACTATTACAGGTTTGTTGTCCTGCCACTTTACTGCTGACACACATCCTTTCGTATGAAACAAAAATTCTCCTGCTGAAATTTATCTGTCCTCTTCACCATTTCAGTAGCCCCTTTCTATTTCTCACACTGTGCCTACAGTATATGGTCTGCTTTTGTTTATGTTTTTCATCAAGCAATAGGAAGAAAAGAAATTGTCAAAGGCAATGAGCCTATGAGAATGGTGGCATGAATGACTTAGTCCATGTACAACACTCTCACCAAGGCAGAGAGATGAGTCATGGTCTATGCCTTTTTTTCTGGGATAGATATCAAACTGACTCACAAAGTCAGTTTGTGAGTCAGTCAAGCACCAAACTTTGTATTCGCACTTGATGGGCTTCACTGGCATGAATTGTTTTATTGAGGAATGGCCCTTGAATGGCACTATGCTTTCATCAACTGCCATGACACCTGATGGCACATAAACTTATTTTAGGTGGCTACTGAGAGCATTGATAATTGGGCACAACTTGTGAAACTGATCATAGCCAGGTTCTCCTTTGTGCACAGCTTTTGAATTGTCATTGCAGTGTACGTGCTATGCAAATTTTTTTCCACAGCAACAGGTAAAAAACATCTGGCTAGCAGTGCTTACAAAAATACCTTGTGGGGGCAGAACACAATTGTGAAACAAATCTAGAAGGCATGTGTTCTTCCTGTAAAAATATGGTATACTGCATTGCGCCTGAAAATAAGTTATTCACTTGAAAATTAAATCATTGCGAAAACCGCAACTTGCAAACAACACACAGAAAACTGTAAATATACTTAAAAGGTTTATCTTGCTGTAAAAAAGCCAAAGGACACAAAAGTCTTACACAATCCCACCTCCAGGATGCACCACCTCATACAATAACCTACACACAGTGATTTGGCGCTGACTAATGTTTCCTTGGTTTCAACACCAGTTATACATATCCCCACCAGATGGCTGCATGTACTATAAGTGGGACACCAGCACCCCAAGAAATCAGAGAGGCAAAAAATGTAACTGGAACTTATATGTCCCAGTGTTCACGGAAGGGCTAGGGTATAAGGTCCCTGGGCGGTGCAAGTGGTTTGCAATTGGCTGCTAACCTAAAGGTTATCAGTTGAATCATATCCAGTGACTCTGTGGAAGAAAGCCTGGCGAACTTCTTCCATCAAGATTATAGTCAAAAAAAACCCTATGGAGCAGTTTCACTCAGTAACACATGGGGTTGCCATGAGACAGAATTGACTCCACCACAGCAGGCTTGGTTTTATTTATTCATTTTTCCCACTGGTGTATGCCACAGAACATGTCTCCTACAAACCTGAGGTGAGGGTAAAGCATGATGACACTGATAGGGGTACCATTTGCAATGTGGCACAGCTCCCCCTCAACTGTAACAAAGAAGAGTATCAAATAAATTTTTTCTTCTTAGAATTCCAAGGAAATATTCTAAAAAGGGTAAAATGTGAAGTAAAGTATGTTGGATGGATAACAGCATAGTAGGAATTTACAGGACTCAGATTAAATTAAAAAAAGAACCAGTTTGCTTAAAGACTTCAGTTTTCTTTCATAACCTTCTGAGCATTTTGCTATCTGAAGCACATATTATCTTGCCAAAACCCAAATCTGTGTATGCTCAGGATTTTCCAGAAGTTAATCCTATAGTGGAGATCATTTCCTTTTCTTTGTAAATTCGTACTAAACCAATAATTCAAAGAGTTGTGTTCTGCATATTGTCTTTCTGGAACACATCAACATACTGATTCATTACATTGGGGAACAGTTAATCTTTTTTTTAAAGTACTGTAGAATGAGGAAGAGAGTGAATCTGTTAACTTTTGGGTCGGGGGAGTATTTGATCATGGGAAACAGAAGCGAAATAATTCACAAAAAACAAGAAAAAGCCCTAGCTGTTCTTTGTACTGGTTATATGGGTGACAGTTTATAAAAATTCACCAATGAGTATATTTAGGATATGTATGCATTTCTGTATATATATTATACTTCAATAAAAGTTTAAGCTAAATCAACAATAAAAATACTAGAAAAAATAACTATTTCGCCAATTCTGATCCAATGTTAGGGATCAAGCTATTGTGAACTGTCAACGAGAATGAATATCCCTGGAAGTGACTGAAGGTATAACAGAATTCATTTTTTCTCTTTCATTCTCATTATTCTCATAGCGAGGAAGGTTTGTCTGCACTCTACGGCGCTAAAAGAACTATTGTATCTGAGATGTAGTAAAAGGAAAAACCAGATCTTGGGGGAAAAGGGAGTGTTGAAGGAGCACAATTACATCAGTGAACCTTAAATGTCAGTGTTCCTTAACAATAAGACTTTCATGAATTTAGCTGAATTATTTAATGAATAATTCATATAGCTAATGAATTAAATTCTAAATATTCATGCCTGTTTAATTAAAATATTTTAAAATTTGTGACTTCATAATCAGTATCAAATATGTCTCCTTTCCTTCATTCCAACCATATCACAATTTCTTTCCTCTAGTTCCAGCAATATATAGCTCTGAGAAAATTTGATAATTAAAGTAAAATCATGACTCAAAAATGTAAGCAGCTACTCCTGCCCTAAAGTCAACTTAACTATAAGAATAAATGATATTTTATATAAACTATCTTTAAAACTATCTAAAATACTGATATTTTAAT